TAGGCATTGGGTTAGAATTGGGGGACATATAATAGGGGCAGACAATTAGGAGGGAGAGAGAGAGAGAGAGAGCAAAATAATTGTATGGAAATGAGTAAATAATTGATCCAAAAAATTAGGACTCAATTACAAGATATTCGGTAATCGAAAAGAAAACAACAATTTATTATATATTTTGTCTAATTATTGATCAGTTAATACAAAAACACCATTAAATCGTACGATTCGAGTGAATATAAATTACATTTAATTCAAACACTAATCAATTCAATAAAATTGCTAACAATTTATATCTAAAAAAACATTACACGTAAACCCAAAGACTGGGAAATAATAAGTAAAACATAACTGAAATTTACTTCAAAACTAAACAAATCGTTGACTAAATTAATGGCCAAAAAAATAGATTATTTAATAATATAATCATAACTGAAGAGTCGACACAACGGCGGCAAACGTCGGGAAACGCTTTCAAAGCTGGACTCCGGGATTGTTTTGTCGGCACTGTTTGAGCGCTTCATTAAAGCCCTCGCAAAGGGCCAAATCATACGATTGGCTGCAGTCCAGGAACTGCTTCAACTCGAAAGAACAGGCCGTCGGCTGCTGTTGGGGAGCGCCCGCCGACTGGTCGTAGTATTGCTGCTGAGGGGCCGCCTCCTGGGCCTCATTACCACCGCCACCACCACTACCGCCGGTCATCATATGCCCGATGGTGTGTCCGACCGCTGAGCCGATAGCGACGCCGCCGGCGGTGGCCATCATTTGGCCCATAAGTCCGGGCCCTTGCGGTGCCGGTGCGGCCATCGCTGTGGGCTGAGGGGCGACGGGTGCCGGAGCTTTGCTCTGTACGGGTGCCGCTTTCTGGACGGGTCTCTGCGGACTCGACGCCCGCATCGGTGGCCTCCGTGTGGGAGATGGAGATGAACGACCTCTTCGTGCCATTACTCGCTGTGTTTGGGAATCAATTCAAGCGATGGTTAATTCAAATGATATTTAAAGGGATTTTTGCAGACAATCAATGGTTACACACGTGTTGTCTGTAAACTCCAAGTCTAAGACTTACCGTTGATTTGTTGGACAAAGAGTTGACAAAAGTGTGTGTTTTAGGCGTGAAATAGACGTGTATTTCGTGGCAAAGGATGTGATAAACAGTGACTTTAGTGTGACTTAAGAAGTGATGCAAAATCTGATGCAATACTCGACACAAACAATGCGTTGGATTTGATAAACAAAATGGCGTTCAATACGTCACACAATTGTCTACAGTTTGCGATTAATTGGTGTTTATTGTAGACGTTATTCATTGGTTTCGTGTTGTGTTTGTCTATAAATTGTTTTCATAGACTGTACTCATACTCTATAGTGAGAGACATCTATCGTATGAATGAATTACTATTTGTTTTATTGAAAGTTTTGATAACTTTTTTGTCAATACTTTAGTCGGACTTTGATTTCGATGTAAAAGTCTATGGGATTTGTACTCAATATTTGTTTAATTAAATAAATAACTGTTAAAATAGTTTATAACTGTTTTTGTGTGGTTTAAATTGTATTTACAAAAATCTATGTTAAATATATTTAGTGTTTATTTAATTAATAAAAGTTTTATTTTTTTTGTAAAACTTTTTTCTGACGCGAAGTTTGAGATAAATTCAAAAATTGTTTTATAAATTATTGAAAATCTTATTATTATTTTTAACCGCAAAATAATAATAATAAGTGTTTTTTGTGTTTTCGCTAAAAATATTGATAATTTATGGAGAAATAGAGTATAAGATATCAATAGATGTCATAAAAACGAGTTAAAAATGTATTAATCTTTACTTTTTGTTGAGTTTTGAAACTTTTTTAAAAAATGATTTTTGTTGTTATTGTTTTCAAAAAATATGCAGTTTTCTCATAGAAAATATTGTTAATTTATTGCATAACTTGGCAATACATGGTAATCTATAGTTTCATATACAGTATATGATGGGTAAAAAATATTGCATTGGATTTATTATTTTACAAATATTTCGTGCATTTATTTTAATTGAATATTTTTATTATTGATTCTCAATTGGAAATGACATTAAAATATTTTTGTTGGTTATATATATTTTCATAAAAAATATTGCATTGGATTTATTATTTTACAAATATTTCGTGCATTTATTTTAATTGAATATTTTTATTATTGATTCTCAATTGGAAATGACATTAAAATATTTTTGTTGGTTATATATATTTTCAGGCGATTTGCTTATTATAGTGAAGATTATTTATCACTCGGAAATATCTGCCAATAATTTATACGGCTTTTTAATATACAGTGTGTATAAAATGTATGATATGTTGAATTGGTTGTGAAATGTACTGTATTTTGATTATTACTATAACTAATATAATCCTCGAAAAAATTTCGATCCATTTATTTACAAATATTTTATATTTTCGATGAATGAATTGAAAACACAAATTCCGGACCAATGAATGAAAATCACATATTTTTGCCACAGATTTCTTGTTTTAGGGAATATTAATCGAGAAGTGAAGTGAAAAATATATTTAATGAATTTAAAGCTCACAAAATTAAAATTTCAATCGATAGCGAAGAGAGAGAGAGAGAGAGAGAGAGAGAGAGAGAGAGAGAGAAGTATAATAAATGAACTGTTTTTGGAAATAACAAATCAAACATTTCATTCATTCATCTCTCAAAATATACTATAAATTACTTTACCATTTGATTGAACTTCTCTTTTGGTGCAAAAAATAAATTTTTAAATTGAAAAAATAAAATAACATTTTTAAGCCGTTTTGTGTAAAAAGAAAAATATTGTATAACTTATGAGAAAATAGTTATTTTTGTGGCAAAAATAATGAAAAACTTTTGTACGTTAAGACAAATGTCTCCATACTATACATACAGTACTGTATCTGTGAATAAATATTTGAATAAAAAACACTTGGATTTTAAGTAAAATTTATAATCTTATAATAATTCATTTATTAAAATATATTGAAATTTATTTATTAAATATACAGTAAATATCGTTCAGTCATATATTCAGCCGTAAAACTAGAAAAAGAAAAATTATTTTCTGAATTTATAAAAAGCAAACAAAATATTCAGAAAAAATTATGTGAAAATTTTTGAAAGTATTGAATATTAATGAAAAATAAAATGTTTTTATATAAATATTGTCTCAATCCTTAAACATATATACAGTGAATGTGTTTAGACATCTCTTTCTAATTAAGAAAAATTATTTTTAATGATTGCTTTGAATAATATATAAATAAATAAGAGTTTTTTAAATAAAAAATAATTAATGTCTTATCGGAGTTATGAATAACTTCTCGTTATATACTCTCAACCTTTTAGTTCACTATATGTTATATATTTATAACATAGAGAACACTATCTGTAAAATCTCGACCAAAACTAAATAGTTATCGAAAAACAAAACCCAAAGAGAAAAAACTGTTTAATCGTTTTGCCGAAACAACTACTGAAAGAAATATTATATATATTTTGTTTGTTACTATTTATTATAACTATAGTTTAGTTCACTGTTTAAGATTAGATATAAGTTATGCAAAAATCAACAATAATTGTGATCAGAGAGCAAAATAAGAAAAATACAAAATTATATCTCTTTTTTATTTCTATAACCAAACTATTCATTATTATTTTTATTATCATTATAGCTATTATTACATTGTATGCCAGTATTGAGAAATATTAATACTCTGTACAGTAATAAAGCTATGAATTCAATAATAGCTTCGAGTGATTATTTGATTATTATTTGAAACAATTTTTCTCTCTCTCTCTCTCTTCGCTATCGATTGAAATTTTTAATTTTGTGAGCTTTAAATTCATTAAATATATTTTTCACTTCACTTCTCGATTAATATTCCCTAAAACAAGAAATCTGTGGCAAAAATATGTGATTTTTATTCATTGGTCCGGAATTTGTGTTTTCAATTCATTCATCGAAAATATAAAATATTTGTAAATAAATGGATTGAAATTTTTTCGAGGATTATATTAGTTATAGTAATAATCAAAATACAGTACATTTCACAAGCAATTCAACATTTTATACATCTTATACACACTGTATATTAAAAAGCCGTATAAATTATTGGCAGATATTTCCGAGTGATAAATAATCTTCACTATAATAAGCAAATCGCCTGAAAATATATATAACCAACAAAAATATTTTAATGTCA